TGCTGTCCCTCAGTGGTGGATGCGAGCATCTACAATTCTTTCTGCCACCTCTCCCTGGACACTCGTGCCGCTTTCGACAATAACTCTTTACGCAGATCGCACAACGATCTGCGGGCTTGGACCTGCCGAATAATGGCGGAGCAGCACCCGGAAGCAATGGTTGATACAGTGCTTGTCGACTCGGCGAGGCCGGTCGTGGAATCGGGGGAGGTTCCACCATGGCCATATCATCCACCAGGAACATGTTTTGGAAGTTGATAGGGCTCGTCACGACCGGCTCCTCGCTGTCCAATTCCGAGAATTCTGAGTCTCCGTGTTCACCTTCCGCTGGCAGCTCAGCCATTCTGTCGAATGATAAAGCTGTAACGCCGGCAAGCGGCACGGCCCGCTACCTAGTTTTGAAATAAGCTAAGACTGCATACTATTACTGGAGCAGTTAGTACTAGTAATGAATAAGCAAATGAAATACAAGTTGGTCTAATAAAGTATGTATGAATAAAGGAAGGTCAGAAGCACACAATGGTGAGCCAACTAATCAATTACACCTGCCCCTCTGCATCGGCGTCGGCGACTTGGTTCCAAAGCTATTAAATGCAGTGTCGGCGGCATCATCCCAATATATTTGACAGACGCTCGTGAGACAGAAATATGCGGACCTAAGCAACAACTCAGCTTTTGTCAGACTTGGCGCCATCCCTCTGTGAGTCCTGGTCCAGGATTATATAGGTTGCGAGCGAGACCGTGGTGAGGACAAGGGTGCTTTCGGTGAGTGTCGACACTCGCCGAAAGCTTCAGTTCGCGCGGCGGAAATTGGAATCAGATTCAACATCCCTATAGTCTCGCTGGACGCTGGACGAGCTGCACCGTATTGTGCACGAAATATGATCCCCGATGGTCTGTCTGGGAGCTTGCTGGGGGTATTTATCACCTATTTTATGCTCTGTGACCCACTCAGTTCAATTCACTCATCAGAACTCATTTTGGATTGTACCAGCGCTAGCAGGACCTTGAAGCATCCATGTCAATGTCCGCTGTACTGTCTGATGCCTCTGTCGAACTTGACGCCACCGCTGGGTTGACTTTTGTGATGCTCGGTGAGCCGTGCAAACTCTTCCGGCGATACATGCTGCTGGGACGCGCTTTGCACTGTTTTTATACATCATCTATACTTGTCACCGGAGACAAATGGGGGAGCAACATACCACGATGCGGAGGCAACGAATCAGCCATGTCGCATCCCAGGTTCGTTGCATCTCTACTTGCAGTAGCCCCAGGATGAGATGCACCAAGTGCAGACCAAAATGATGATCTGCTGGTCTGCGCCGGAATAGTATTTGAATTTCCGCGAGGGACAGGATGGTGGGTGGTGTAAGGCTGAAAAAATGCGGCAGGGGGTAGGTTGGAGCTGCTGGGTTGAGGATTTTCAGCACGGGTGTGTCGCACAGCAGGAGCAGATACAAGATTGTTGTCTGGAGTTTCAGTTCCCGCCAGTTTGGCTGCTTTGGAGGCATTTGTCGGGCGGCCAGCATTGTCTCGTGACCCACCCCACCCTCTCTTCGGCTTCCCGGATGTTGCATCCTTCATTGGCGCGGGGAGTGGTCGACGCAGCGAGCAGCAGGTTTTAATTTAGCCATAAGTAACGCAACGCGTCTTGGCGTCACGTTTGAAGCACGTGGAGACCGGTCCGCAGCCGGATCAGACCCATGTACCTAATCGGGACTTGGGTCTCCACAGACATGCGACATGAACCCTTTCTTGACTCCGAAAATGGCAGCGCCACCTGTCGATCAAACTTTCCGATATGATCGCAGCTCTACTCATCTACTACAGACTCCGGACGCCTTCATATCGGTGGACTGTGGCGTGAGCGTGGGGAGGGGCGCTCCAAATCCGAGTGTGCTATGTCCTATTCGGCTAGCGTGGAGATTCGAGCGGCAGGTACCGAGATGGGTGTCTATGTTACGAGACGAGTAGATGAGACGGTGTAATGCATCGGTGCATGGTGGAGTGGACATCCTCTGAATGGGATGAGAGTCAATGACGCGGATGCGCGTTCGCTCGGAACTAGGGTAGCGCCATATCAGACTGCTTGAGCCATCGTTTTCTTGGGGCCGAGCGTTTGAATCCACGGGTAGAGAGAGCAGCCAGTGCTGGCACACGCCGTGGCCAACCCGCGGCTCATGGACCGCGGTCGGAGATGAAGTTCGTTGATGTAATCGACTGACAGCCTGATCAGCTTCCGATCTCTGAATGTCAGGACCGAATATAGCTATGGAATCAGAGCCGAAATGATAAGAACGATCTTTCATTTTATCTCAACCTATTCCTAATTTGATACTTCGGGTTTAAAATTACACCTACATAGGCCTGAAGTTTGGCAGTCCCCGGTGTGCGTCTTATAAATCCCCAGCACTGATTATGATCTTGGGCCCACGCTCGAACCAGGCTTTCATTGGAAAAAGTCATGTCTCTGCCCACATTCTCATTCACCACCACCGGCGAAGAAGCCGCCATCACTCTTGCCGGGGAGATTCATGGCAAAAATGGTGATTAGCTGGACCAAAAGGCCTTGATCTCAATCTGACGCCTCACAGTGTTGATAACTGGCACTTCGATGGGCGGTATTGGGTTCGAAACGGCTCGTGTCATTGCAAAGCACGCAAATCTGGTCATTATAGCCGGCTACAGCCCGGAGAGGTATTATTTGCTAACTTCCACACGCCTAATAGCACTAAGTGCTCCGTGTGTCGCAGACTGACGCTTTCGGAGGACGCAATCAAGAAGGAGAACCCGTCGGCTAATATCCGCCGGCTTGTAATCGATCTGTCCTCGTTAGCTGCGGTGCGAAAGGCCGCCGCCGAAGTCAATGCGTATCCCGAACCCCTTCATGTACGTTCCTTTCTCCCCCACCAAATCAAAATGGTCTTAAACAATTTTCTAGGTCTTGGTAAACAACGCGGCCGCCCCCGTCGGGCCATTCAAACTCACCGTGGATAACCTCGAGAGCCAGACGGCAACGGACTTCATCGGGCCGTTCCTGTTCACAAAGCTACTCACTCCCAAGCTTTTGGCGGCAGGCACAGCGAGCTATGTCCCACGCGCCGTGTTCCTTTCCAGTATCGGTCACACGTTCATACCCGCGCTCGATTTGAATATGATCGCTGGGAAGCCCGACCAAGCGACATACCACCCCATCAATGCCTACTTCCATGCAAAAGCCGCCAACATTCTCCTCGCTATCGAGCTGTCCAAACGCTCTGGCGGTAAGATTAATGCATACAGTGTGTGCCCTGGGTGTAAGTTCTGCCTTGTATTCTATGATTCGACTGAAAAAGATGAACGATGACAGTTATCTACACGAATTTACTCCAGAAGGAGGAGTCCATCGAGTTCATACAGGCCGCTGGTTTGTGGCTCGCTTCCTCATAGTATCCTTATTGAAACTACCGCAATCTCAGGCTTCCTTGGCGCTGACGGAAAGCCCAACACGGAGCAAGTTGATACGTGGAAGACACTGCCGCAGGGAGCCACGACGTAAGACCACTTTGCATCTTCATCAATTGGCCCTGACCTGTTGCCTCGATAGGACTGTCGTCGCTGCCTTTGACCCGCGCCTCAATGGTTGGGGTATCAATCCAGTATCCAAAGCGCCGTGTATTTACATATTTACTTCACAGATAAACCCGGTGCATATCTCTCCAATGGCGCCGAGGCGAACAACGAACGGGCGGCGCACAGTTCGGATCCCGTATGTCGTCTTCCTCCATTCCCCTGTAAGTGCAACGTAGGTTGAGGTTCTGTGTACAGGCGAATGCGGAGAAGTTGTGGACACAGACGGAGGAGATTATTTGTGAAAAGTCCACGTTTTAGATGTATGTATGTCCCTATGTAACGGGATCGTTACTGTAGAGAATAGCTGTTTGCGGGCTCATGTGGAGATCAAGAAATAAAATCAAGGAACTCCTGCGCTGGTCTGAAGTACGTAAAGAAAATTTAGGGTAGGGACACTGGCAGGAGGATATCGACGAGATGGATGGGCTCATCTGAGTGATGGGAGAGTTTGGGAGGAGTCTACTCAAAATTCCCAATCATGATATGAGGCTGAAACGGTAACTGGCCTGTTGAGTTCATGGAATTTGGACCTCACAGACAAAATTCGTGTCCAGGAAAAATCGGAAGCGCTGAACTGGGCGGGCCATCAGACGGGCGGCCCTTGGACGTCGAGATCTATTCTCGTCCAGGCCGCTGTGTGTTATTGCGACTAAAGCATCTGAAATCATCTGCTCCTTCTTTTATTTTTTCTTACCTAGCATCCCGCGGAGCTCATTCCTATCAATAAGGATCCAAAGTTGCTGAAATGCAATGATGATCCGAGCAAGGTACAATTTATTTTCCATTGAACCGGAGTTGGACTGTTCAAACTTGTGTACCAGTTATATACCACAGCAGACCAACTATAGGGAAGACCTGATAGCATAATCAGTGCAGCTGCTCAAACTAAGGGGTTAATGTGATTGCTTAAGCAGGAGATCCTCGTTCGATCCGGGGTCACGTTATGACCCAGAGATTCTAATCTTTTTTTTCAATTTTGCTTCTCACTGGCTAACATTTTGCTGGGCTCATTTCATTGAAAGGACACCATTGATCTGTCCTCACTAATTCAGACGGAACGACAGGAACAGTGATCTAGATTGTTGTAGGTGTAAACGTAAGACAAAGGGAAAAGACAATTAGGTAAGTAATAAGTATAAAAGGTGACTAAGCAAGAGTACAAATCCGGAGGAAAGTTGGAGATGCTTAGTCAGAAAATGATCGATGTGAGTGCCAGACTTACATTCACTCTCCCAATTCTAGTCTTCCTTCAAGTTGCTCAGATTAAATTACAACCACGGAGTATCCGAGCAAGTCATTATTTTATTTTAGTTGGACCCTCCCAAGCAGTTGAATTGTTCAACCTCACTTTGGTACCACTTATACGACAGTAGAGCAAATGCAGGAAAGACATGATAGCATAATTGGTTAATGTGTCTGCTCAACTTATTCCAGGGAAGATGATTTAGCAGGAGATCCCTGTTCAATCCGGGGTTAGGTCATGTTGGGGATGCATAGTGGCTTTTTCTTTCATTTTTTGGGAATTGCTTACATAGCAGCTCATTTTACAATGGTTGTTCAATGTTGAATGTTGAGGCCTCCTTGCCAAATAAAATGAAATGAAACGACACTCAACCCCAGGATCACGAGTAATATAGAGCCTCTCAAAGGCGGTTGTTCAAGGTTCTCCTTTTGTACCTATTATATAGCACAGTAAACCCAGAAAGACCTGATGCATAATTGCTTGGTGCACCTGTTTAAAATATTGAATCTGTGAACTTTAGGCAGGATATCCCCGTTCGATCTGGGGTGAGGTCATTATCTTGAATTGATATTTCTTTTTGTTCTGTATTTCAACTGACTGTGCACCGTCCCGCCGCGCTTCGACGGTGCCGATTTTTCTGCTCTTACTCGAGTGAAATGACAGTCAATGATCTGAGCAAGCTGATTTATTTTTGGTTGAATCTGCGAGTCTGCCCAAGAAGTACTAGTTGAATCCGAGGCAAATTTGAAATTAGAACCCGGGTTCAAGGTTCAATTTTTGTCACGGTTATACAACAGTAGACCAAGCCTAAGAAAGGTCTGATGGCATAATTGGTTAGTGCACCTATTTAAATTAAGTCCAGATTGGCAGGAGATCTCTGTTTGATCCGGGGTCAGGTCATATCTGTGACACAGACTGGCTTTTTCTTTCATTTTTTGGACAACTGGCTAGCATCCCGCGGAGCTCATTCTTAAGGATCCAAAGTTGCTGAAATGTAATGATGATCCGAGCAAGGTACAATTTATCTTCCAATGAACCGGAGTTGGACTGTTCAAACTTGTGTACGACCTATAGACCACAGTAGATGAAGTGTAAGGAAGACCTGGTAGCATAACTGGTTAATGATTCTGCAACTCATAACATGAATAGCGACGAGATTTGACAGGAAATCCCTGTTCGATCCGGGGTCACATCACGAACGGACTTGTTGTTTTTACTTCTTTTGGGATTCCGCCCACGGTTGTAACAGTCATATGTACTATCCTAGAGAGCTCATTTTCTTATTCTAAAGCACACTTACTCACCCAACTGAAATGACAGTCAATTATCCGAGCAAGCCGCAATTTATTAGCTTGAACCCTCCTAACTCTAACCAACGTTGAGAAATTGCACGATCACACGGTTTTTCCTCCCTCGAGGTCTTCTATCCTCACATTTATATGCACGCGTTTCGCCTCTCAGACTCATTCACTCCGAGGCTGCGCGCAACGGCACGAGAACGTCTTCGTGACGCACGCGTAATGGGTGCACTGACAGAAAAGCTTACATGGGAGCGTCGTAGCGGGATTGGGAAGAAAGTGCAAGGTCGGAGAGACCAGAGCTAAGGTCGGTTTGATTGACGGGACAGGACGGACAGCGTCTTTTGGCACGCTGAAACTCTGCTGCCGAAGCTCAAGATAGCACGGAATCAATGTGAAATGCATACGATACATACTTGTGCGGCTAGTCCATCAGATTTCGCCCCCGAAATTTTATATCTCCCTCGCTGAACCGTCGACGTCGACTTGTGAATTGTTACAGTCTTGCGCCAGGGAATGAAAGGCCGTTACAGGACCCCGAATAGAATCGTAAAAGCCTTCGAAAGATGGCGAATCTGAAAAAAGAGTCGTGAGCACCGCGCCGAGAGAGGGGATTGACGTTGGAGACGTCTCGGGGTCTCTGGAGGAGAAGAGCCAGTGGGGCTCGCAGCGGGAGGGTGGAAGCAGGAGGAGAAAACCCAATGTGATTGCCGATGATACACATCCGAACCTAATATGCCAAACTACGCTAGCCGCTGCCAACCACGCCACAACGTCGCTTACCTCAGATAAAGTTTGCATGCATGGTACCTATGTGGATGTGCATCCCGCCCTCTACAAGCTGCCGCAGAGCCGTAATAATTTCGGGATCAGGTTTGCTCTCTGGGGCGTACTCCGACCAAAGCAGTCGGAAGGATTGGATCTGCGAGGGCCCCGTCGCGCGCCGGGCAGAGAGCATCCTGACCACATCCTCGTATTCGTTGTGATAGAGGTAGTACCCACGAATCGTGAGGGTGCGGAGGTTCGGAAGGAAGTGGTGGGAGGTCGCCAGCGCCGTCAAGAAGTCAAAATCGAGTTCGGCGTTGGGGTTGCACCTCAACTCAAGATCCGCCAGGGTGGGGACGGCCTCGAAGACATCGATCGACGGCGCCATGCATAGCGACTGCAATGGCGGGGCAGAGCGGGATAGGAAGGAGATGATCTCGGGAGGGATGTCGAAGCCGGGTATGTAGAGGGTTTGTAACGCAGGTAGCGTGAGGTACGATAAAATGGATGCGCTGTGGTCATTGCCAAGACGTAGACTTCGCAGGGAATTATAAGTGAATGCTGTTAGATTGAGTGGGGGACTGTGGCGATAATACACTCGGTCGAAATTGCATTCCACGAGGTTTGGCGCGGCGCGGATTAGCTCGGCACATCCACTGGGATTGTACAAATAGATTTGGCGATTGGTACCGCGGTCGTCTTGCGCAATGGTCAACGTTGTTAAGCACGGAAACGAGGCGTTTATCTGCTTCAGTGGCGGCTCGGACGAAAAGTACAGTTGTAATTTCTGTACCCGAGGTGCGTGCTCGTTCAGCACGACCGCGACGGCCTGCGGTAGCGGTCCACGGAGGGAGATGGAGGTGGCACGAGTACCGGCGCGTTTGAGCCAAGCGTCGAACAGATGTTCGAATCCTTGTGCCCGGGGAAACTCGATTTGAATGCTGGTCCACAGCGCGGAAGTGGATAGAGCGATATTGGACCATGAATGGCATACTTTGAGAAACACCATGGGTGCCGTGAGGGGATTAGCTAGTGGAATGGCGGGGAGGCATCGCATCAAGATATCAGACGAGATTTCGAGCGGCAGCCGCGCCATCGGGTCCAGGATGGCGTTGAGATCGCGTTGGACGGCCGTCCTAGTCTTTTCGAGGTCGCAGATGATTTCCTTATGGTGGGCTATAGCAGAGGAAATGTCTTCAAGATGGGTACGGAGGGCAGCTGCGGCGGACATGGCGGTTGCAAGTCAAGCGTAAAAATAATAGGAACAAATACACTGCCACCAATCCAATCACTAGAACCACGCTCGACGGGATGCCGTTTCCCACCCACAGACGTTGTCTGCAGTGAATTCTCCGGGTCGCTTAATTCCCTCTCAAATTTACGAGACGTCTTGCTGGGCTCGCCGCTGTCAACTTGGATTGGGTCGTGTTAAACTTGATTGAACCATTCTGCGGCTCTTGCTTTCCATGATTCATCAGCAAAATGTTTTCGGTCTGGCAGACCTGGCGCCAGGTCTGCCAGGGCTCCCAACGAGCCAGAATTTCATCTGGCTCCATAAAAAGATGCACATCGCCAGACGAGGTTCTGGAGCCGGTTTTACTTTTGGCGCCAGAATCCGTGCCAGTTTCACGCGCCAATATTCACTTTCCTTCCAGATCCCTCTCTTACATCCGCCGCAAAATTCATACTGGGCAATAAAACTGATTGATTTGGGCATTTCTACGCTACTTTCTATGAATTATCGGACAGCATGTAGATCCTTAAGCTCCAGCAGTGTCAGCCTTAGGAGCACAAACAGATTAGTCAAAAGCTTGCAATGCAATTGAAAAAATTACCGGCGCCATGTGGCCGTGAGCACTCTGGGAGTTGTCCCCATCCACATCTTCGCCACCTTCGGAGAGGATGGGCTACACACAGTAGATTAGCAGGCAGCTCGCCATAGATATTCTGACAATACTTACTGTGGTGGGGTCAGTACGCACGGGGTGATCATCACCAGGATTATCTTCATCTTCGTCGTCGGAGACAACGACCCGGGAACGGGGATCCAGGTACCCATCACTCGAATCGGTGCCGTCAGCGGAATAGTCGAAAATATCGGAAAAGCCTTTCCCCTTCGAGGTCTGAAACGCGGACGCAAGGTTAAAAATTTCTTGCCACTTTTGAAGGGTCAGAGTTTTAATCGGAGGAAGGTAATTGGCCGCGCGCTCAGCCCAGGGCTCCGCGACGAAACTGAGGACTGATTTCTTGCCGTTCCGTCTCTGGCCTTCATTGTTGAGAGAGCCGGTTTGGCATAGCGAGAGTGCCCTCTCAAGCTTTCGTAATCTCAGCATCTAATAAAGTGGAATAAATGGATAAATAACGTACGGCTGCTGCACAAAGAGACGCTGCTCCAGTGGGATGACCGTAAGATACATCAGTCTTCATCACGATGCGGAGGTGCGCCGCGAACGTTTGAAGGAAGAGATCTGATCGATAGCTGCCCCCCTTGGAACTACATGTGAGTTGGGGTAGTAAGATTGGATGCGATACGTGCCTTTGTAGCCGGGTCCCGGTATAGAAATGCAAGATCAAAGGATTGCTCGGCAACCCAGTCGCGACGTGCCCGGGCCGTACCAAGCGTGTCGAGGCGGTCTACAACAGCCTTGATAGCCCGTTTCCCTATGTCGCTCCGCCAATTACCGAGAGCAGACGTGGCCTCGGGAGGAGTTCTGAGCGAAAATAGGCTGTCAGCAATAATTCACGACTCACCATGTATTCGACGGAAGCATCTATCTTGTACGCTGAGAAGTACTTGGTCCAGATGTTCGCTACAGTGCTCTTGAATGCTAGGTGGTTGTGAGCGACGAAAGGATCATCGAGCGTCGCCGCCCAGTCGGTTAGGTCGGGGATGAAAGTCTCCTGGTAGTGCTTGAGATCGGCGGCGTGGCCATCCGGGGGAAAAGGGAGGTCCGCGTTGGTGTACCTGCGCTTAGGCTCGGTCTTGGTCTTCCCGTTAACATCGACAACGACGGTTTTTGTCTTGAGAGTGATGCCCATCTGCTGACGTCAGCATGATGTCCATAAACGGAAGTGGGCCTTGCCTTCGCTGTCCCCTTCGCTGCTCGTGCTGCATTCACGGTTGACTCGTCCTCCTCCCGGTCAAACTCTCCGAGCACGTCTCCAACCGATGATG